GGTACAGTTGTCACGTGTGCCAGTTGTTCACACAGTTGTGTAGAAGTCGGGGTTAAGTCAGGCAGGTGAGTCCTCTCAGGGTCTCATATTAATAAGTAGTACGCACAGTGAGACACTGACAGCCCTTCCTTTCATCTTGCTTCTCTCGGGATATTTGCATAATTTTATGAAGACTGAGGTAAGGTCTCCCTGAAGAGTGAAGGTAGGCCTGCATTCTGCCTATTTTAAAGGCTTTGGTTTTTGGAATTTCTTAGTTCCTTGGTTACAAGGCAACCCCCTGTATAAGAGCATCTTCACATAGTTCGGCGAACGACTTCATAAAGGTCAGATCTGTTTGAACTAATGAGATGACTCAAATTTCTTTTGTCTCTCACTCAAGAATCTTCTGTACCAACATCTATGTCATCGTGATTGACAAATTTGCTATCTTGTAAACAAGTTAAAATCTTACACCTTTCATAGTGCTTACTGCATATCTATATAATATATAGATACATAATTTAATATGCCTTACATAAAATAGAACTGTATTTAAATAAAGCATTTTCAATTTATATATCAAGAAATAACATATAAATATTTAAATACTTACATCATATAAATACGAAAGTGCAAAATATTGAAAGAAAAACACATAAAGGAGAGTGTGCTAACTAAACAAGCAGCATCTTGTCTATGAAATAAACATGGAAAGATAACCACCATTAGGCATGATCAGGAGAATAAGGTAAGGTAAAACTGCAGTGAGATTTCAGTTACACCTATGCTATAGAATGGTTATAGATGCAGTGAGACTCCAGTTACACCTGCGTTATAGAATGATTATGTATGCAGTGGGATTTTAGTTATAGATGCAGTGAGATTCAGTTACACCTGTGTTATAGAATGGTTACAGCTGCAGTGAGATTTCAATTATAGATACAGTGAGATTTCAGTTATGCCTGTGTTATAGAATGGTTAAAGCTGCAGTGAGATTTCACATGTGCCCGTATGATGAACTGGTTATACTGAAGAGGCTTCATATCTTGGGTGTTGCTAATGACTCACGAGGATCAGGAATCATAATGCAAGGGGGTACAAGTGTGAATTTAGAGAATGGCTTATGTATAGAGCAATATTAAACCCAGAGGGGGCCACTTTTAATGCAGGAATTACAACAGTCAGTTGTCCATTTCTCCAGCCCCTCTCCTCTTGTTCCTTCTTCCTGCCTTAGCACATACAGTGTGTATCATCCCAAAGAGCGGTATTTCAATAGAAAACTGCAGAGGTGATTTTCTGATTTTAATTCTTTAAAAACTTTTTAGAAATCAGAAATTATTTTTCTTATCTGTTAACTTTCTAGTTTTATCAGAAGGTTTGTTTAACTCATCTTAATTAATATTAGTTATTTATAAAATATTTACCTGTAATAAATTATATAATGAAGTTTAGTCTTTGGGCTAAAACTATATCTATTGCCCCCATCAAACTAGAAGTAAAGGCTGAAGGAGAAAGAACTCTTCTTATAGGAAGGAGGGCCATCTATAAAGTAGATCAGATAATTTCTAGAAAACTGCTTCCTAGTTATAGTTTTCTTTAGGTATTGATTTTTTAACCATGAAGCTCAGAGACAAGAAGGCAAAGTGTATCTGAGCACAAGGTGAGTTTGAAGAATGAACTCTTCATGATTCACATCTACCTATGCAGTCTTAACGGGATTAGACAACTTGATGTGACATAGCAGGGTACCAAAGGCCTAAATTTCTAAGTTTTTGTTTCAGGGTATAGAGCACAAAAAGTCCAAAGTCTTGGTATGAAGGTTTGGGTTCTACTGAAGTCCATTTCCTTGGCATATACACAGCTACCTCCTTTTCGTCATACACATGCCCTTGGTTTCTCTCCCCCACCCCAATTTTGAAAGACATCCTACTGGATTAAGGATCTACCCGTTCCTCCTCTATATCCTTAGAAGTCTATTTCCAGACATAATCACACTGGAAGGTGTGGCTCTGGCATGTACATTTTAGGCATCACGACTCAGTCAATAGTGTCAGCCATCTCAATGGGACTGTGGTCAGTGCTCTGGACAGACTGGTGAACAGAAGAACTATTCATTCCTCTCTGGAGCTTATATTTCAGAGGGAGGTGATGCAACATGAGAAGAATAGGTTGATGTATTAAGATGACAAATGCTGTGGACAGACACAGTAACAGGAGAAGGAGTTACAGGTATTAGTATATGTCTTGGGAGTGAGTGATACTGTCAAATATATTAAATTCTCTGGAATAGTTGACATTGAATGAAACTTTGAAGAATGTATGGGTAGTCACTGTCTTTGACAACTCTGGTGCATTCTAATTTGAGAAGAAATAACATTAAGGAGAGGCTATGGAAGGTACAATTTAGTCACATGATTTTATTCTGGCCATGCACGAAATTACACAGCCAATGTTGTGATTAAATGATTGCTAGAAATCAATATATTTCAGAGTTGACCACTCCTGTTATAGTTGAATAATGGGAACATGTCTTGCTTAATGCTTCAGTTGAAGCCCTTAAGGAGTGATTGTCTGGTTGTCAAGTTTGTCATGCGTGGGCAACCTTCTCCCATTTGCTTGGTCCTATTGCATTGTCAACAGCACAGTACTTGCTGTGGTAGGAAAGACCAGTGGGTAATCTAATCACTTACAAATTTATACTGACAACTATGCCAAATCTATTCACCAGGTTGGCTTATACTTTAACTGAAGAACATCCTCCATATTAGACCTTGGACTGAGTTCTAGAGAGAAGGTACAAAATAACCCAGTCCTTATATTTTTTTTTTTAGGTGTTACAGTCAACTTGATAAGATATAAACACAAAGCACTTAGTTAAGAGCAGAGAGCACATGGCAAGCTGGGTAGCTTTTCAGGAGCACCCTGATTACACCTTACTGGAGGAGTTTCACTTAGGTATGAGGCCACTGTCATCCAACAGACATCAAGCAAACAGTCTTGGTATTAGGCAAATGCTATACTAAGCTCTGGCAGAACAAAAGTTATTCCAAGTTTGCCCACTGGTAATGAGGAACAGACACAAACAAACTCATGAGTTAAGTTCTACTGGATTTCAGTGGTGGGTTCCAGTGTCTGGTAGTTTTATGGGTACAGCCAATGTAAAGAAAACAGACTCCCAAGGACAGAAAATGGGGAAGCCGGTGGAAGAGTTATGGGAAAGTACAGATGCTTCGTGGAGGATACATCAATGGTATGTAAGAGAGACCAAGAGTAAGAAAAAGAGAGGGAAAGGGAGGAAAAGAGGGAGAGAAGGTGAAGGATAAAGACAGGAAGGATAAAGACAGGAAGAGGGAAAGAGAGGAAGTGAATAATGCAGATGCAAAATAAAAGTGAAGTAAAAGTGTTCCCATACCATGAGAAAGGAATCAGGTTTGTGCTATGCACACATAGGTATTTATGATGGAGTAATAGAATAAATACTAAAAAAATTTATATTATGCATTATTTTGGATTTAGATTGAATAGTGGACTGGTCTAGGCAAAGAAGGGAGGTGGGGGAGAGTTTTAGTAGAAGCCATTTAGGATTAGTATGGACAGAAATCCACGGTGATCTAAATCAAGAATATGTAACGTAGGGAAAGAAAAGAATGTGAGGGGGAGACAAATGGCAGGGCGTGACAACAGCTGCCTGAATGGCAGTGGTTCTGAAGTGATGGACAAGCCCGGTTCTGTGTTGTCCTGCTTCTTCAGTAATGCCAATTGTCCAGCAAGAGCACAGAGTAATCAACTCTAAGACCTTAGTGAAAAGGGTTTCACTCCAGCACAAGTTATTTTTTAATGGGTTTTAAATTCCTTGAATCTAAGGAACTCAGTGTTGCATTTTAACCTGCTTTGTGATGATTTTGCAGTGTTTGATAATCAGAAGTTCTTTGACCTAAATTAACTTGCCATATGAAAAGCTAGGATATAGGTACTCCTTTGGACTTAAAAAAAATGTTCACAGGAAGTGACATCACTTATAGTTCTGTGCCCATTTATATAACATTAGATTAGCACGTGTGTTATTTTTATTACAGTTATTTTATTTTATTTTGTTTGCAAGAATGTTATTCCTGGGAGCCTAAGTTGAGGTAATGTTTTTATGTGGACAAAAGGTATACTGTCTCCTCCTTTGGCTTAATTCAACTTATCTCTCTACTTGCAGAGCTCTAGATCGTTAACCATTCTAAATCTAAGGGCTACGGTGTGTTGGATGTGTTATGGTTGTTCAAAGGCTGAGCTGTAAAGTCAATTTATATGGACTAACTCTGCTGAGAAAGTTTTATGAGAGTGTTTTATCGATAATGTTCAGTTGACAAAGTAATTGCTATTTCAGGCCCTTTTGGCCTACAGAGTTTTTGTTCTGAATCTGTGGTTTAAATGCATAACAAAAGCAAAGACTCCTTAATGGTACTTGCTTTGAAATTAGAATGTGATTACTTTAAAACATGGATAGTTTTATTGCCTTAAACTATTTTTAAACTGCCATTCAGTTTTTAATGGTCTCCATCACTGCATGCTGTGGAGAAGAAAAGGGAGAAGAAAATAAGTATTGGCTCAGAGCTAGGTGTGGACCTGCAGAGAACTGGGGGAAAATATGTTATTTTCTGACCCTAGTAATCATTAGTTCTCTCTGTGCTTCCCCTAAAGCTCCATATAGCTGTTCCCAGCTCAACACTTTCAGAGCCTAATTGGACCAAGTGGCATAAAAGGTTACCTAGCCTTTCATTTGAAAGAAGGTGTATGAAATGGAAAAGCACAGGTAGACACAGTGAGTGTGAATATACCTCATGCATATATACATTTCGTAATATGCTCTTATTTCTTAAAACATGTAAGAACAAGACAGATCATTTTTAACTAATACAGAGTTCAGAAATGTGTTCATTGAGAGTGAGGGAAGCTATAGGTTCATTTCTCCGAGAAGGGTGTTGATGCTTAGGCACTCGCCAAGGAAACAGGTCGAGGTACAGAAGTCTTACCCTGCCATACATGCTCTGGTAGGCCCCAGCTATCATCTGCCGCTGTGCATTGCTGCGTTGTGTTAAGATGTCAATCAGCAAGTCTTTGTTACATTCTAGGAAGGAATTGTAACAGAAAATTAAGGAAGTTCTTGCTCAGTTTCTAGCATCCATCCTTTATGGACTAATCATATCTAGCCAATGGGCAGGTGTTATTCCTGTTAGCATCTTACTTTTAAATACAATTGGATATCACAATAGCAATGCTTGATGAATCCTAGATGCTCCCCCACCTATGCCATTAGTGTTATTAATACACATTGTATTCCTTCCACCTAAAATTCCACAAGAAACATAGGAAGGTAGGAAAACATAGCTTTTCTTCAGCTATCTGGTCAACCCTCCTAAAAGAGAGCTGCCCCGTACCCCCCAACTTTCAAACTCATGGGTAGTAATTGAGCACCACATCCTTCTTACAGCACAGTTACATACATGACCCATAATGAACATGTATTCTAAAAATTGGGCTGCCTTCATCATATCCACCAAAGAAAGGGGAATGACCCAGAAGGAAATAGTGGAATCGCAAGGTGTCTGCATACTTTAGTTGGGTGAAATGAGGCTCTCAAACCTTGGGTTGAACCTGGTCCTTTACCCATTATCAAGGTTTTTTTCTGTGTTGTATATACTTATTCATACGAAAGTATTATATTATCACAATATTCATAGCAGTAATATATCATAATTGCTTTTTTATGTGTTGTATTTTAGAGTAGAGTGACCAAGATAACTTTAACTTCTGCATTAGCTTGACTACAATATAAACAGATTAATTTTTTTATGTAAAGCCTAATGACCTCCTTTTTCTTAGAGTATTTATCTTAAAAACCTCAGGTGTGTAAATGCCTTCTTTGTTACCCATCGTTGATCTATCTATCTATCTTTCATCTGTCATCTATCTATCTATCTATCTATCTATCTATCTATCTATCTATCTATCTATCTATCATCTATCTATCTATCTATCCATCCATCCATATTTTACACAAGAGAATAGACAGATAAATAATTTAAAGAAAGGAGACTGTAAGATACTTATAAATGATGAATAGATTATTCTTATAATCATAACATTTATTGAGTTACTGTTCTCATCTGTTTTTGTTGCTCTGTTGAGATTATATACAAACTTTCTCTCTGACTTATTTTGTGCTTATTAGTTTTCATAGTAGTTTTTGTTCAGTTACTCTTTAGGAGATATTGCATAATAATTTTAAATGGATCTCAAAAATTTTATTATAGTGTGCTAATTAAAATACAGAAACTAAATACTAATAAAGAAATGGAAGAGAACCCATTACTCATTGATTTCATTAAGAGGACAATAAAAAGACATTACAAATAACTCTATGTTACGAATTTTAATTGTCTAGATAAAGGGATCAGTTTCTTCAAAAATAGTATGTAGTCAAACTTATACACGGAACATTGACAATTTTAATAGATATATAACTATAAAAGAATTGAATAAGTAATTAATAGCCTGTCAAAATAAACTTGTTGATATTAGATATTTTTTTTAATTAATCCAACAGATTTTAAAAGAACTAACAGTTGTCTTCCATCTCTTCCACACTCCTGAAATGTTCTGATGTCCTCCAGCATTACTTGAACATCTACACCAGAGACAGACATTACAAGGTAAACTATGGACCCAAATCTTTCATAAACAACGATGTAATCCTCCCTCCAAAACAAAACCCAGAAATTGAATTGAATACAACAGTGTGTATGAAAAATTATACATAGGTCTAACATCAGACAATCAGTGTAACCTATGTAATTGACAATTTAAAGAAGCAAATTCATGTGAAGATAAGGAAAGATGTAGAAAGGACATTTGATAAAATGCAATATTGTGAGATATTTTGATTGCACTTCCACAGTGCCTGGACTGATGATAAAATTTACTTAGAATCAGAGGGTGGAGCTGGTTACTAGCTAACCAAATTAGTCATAAAGGCTTTGGAGGATCAAGGACATATGTAGAGGCATATGAAGTAGTAGAGAGAGGCTTAGGAGATTCTCCGACCTTTGGGATTGTGGAGGGCAAGAGAGAGTTAGTCACTACTCTGCCTCTTCTCTGGTCCATCATCATCATCCAATATCTGACTCCCGAATTTTTATTGATAAAATAATAGTTAGATAAATGCTTCAATGTAACGTTTGTTCAAGACAAAAGTTCTAACCAAAGTAGTAATCAAAAGGAATGTCTTCAGTTTGATAAAATACCTCTGCCAAGTCTCGTGATTATTATCACAGCAAGAAAGGTCCTTCACATGGTAAAGGTGGCCACATTTATCAGAATGGGAGTATTTAAAAAAAAGATTACTTTTGACTTGTGTATCCTGTTGTGAAGATTTAAGGATAAACGTTAAGAATGGATTCAGTTTTCCAGTGTCACATGGAGATTTCAAAAAATACATGCTTACAGATGATAAATACAAAAACCAAAAAATAAACAACAATGACAATAACTAAAAAGCTTTTCTGCAAATGTATGTAAGCAGCTACTAATGGGGGTGAGTTGAGAATGTGAGGGTATTATTAGGAGATGCATGTCTAAGAAGTGTTTCATTTTAGGGTGAATAAATACCTATTTGAGCATACTTCTACAATTTTTTCTAAGCTTTCTTGTTTTCATATTCTTCAGAATCCATTTTCCTATATCTTCAAAGTTATATAATTAAGAATTTCTGGGCAAAATATTGATATTTATCTTTTCCAATTGAAGTTGACCAAAGTCATTAAAATTGCAGACTATTAGTACATATGAAACTATATTCTTACCCTTGAATGCTTCCCCAGATACCATGCCTTCAAACTCCAAACAACTGAAATATGTCAGCTTAAACCACATAAGCAAAACATCACGACATTCAAAATAAATCCATACTTTCACTCCACTTATAATGGCAGGAAAGTTGAGATTGGAGAAAAGAATTTATTTATTTATTATTATTTGTGTGTGTATGTGACCAAATTGTTCTGTACTTCAATTTTAAAGAAAAATATTGCAGTCATATTTCTGAAAAAAAAATTTATTCTCTGTAGTTTTTCTAGTGACTATTGATACTTTAGAAGGCATGAAATGATTGTTAAGTCCTAAAGCCAAAGTCGGAAAATATATTTAATACTATGTTATTTTCCTATGCGTGGTATGCTATTCATGGTTGAAACACAAAGGTATGTAGGTATGTAGTGTACATTCATGTACAGGAAAAAGAAAGACAGAGAGAAAGAGAAAGCAAGAGAGACAGAAATGGAGATAGTGAGAAGAGAGACAGAGAGAGATAGAGGGAGAAAGAGATGGAGAGATTCTGTAAAGCAAGTAACCACGTCCTGAAGTTAAGAGTTTTCTTTTTTATGCATGGGTTTAATTTTCTTCTTTAATCACCTCTTTTATATTGTCTATGTTTATATTCCTGCCCATTTATAAGTCTTTTAAAAATGGGTTTTGTTAAAAAAATAAATATTTAACAGTTTTACATTGAGCTTTTAAGAATAAAGAATTAAAAACAAGCTAACTGTACTGCCTCCTTTTTTGTACCTTTCTTTTCTAAACTCTGATCTTATCTGATGAACATCAATTTGTTCAGCCAAATACCACATTCTAGGAACTCACAGACAAGTCTGCAGGTGCAATGGACTGGGACAAAGCAAATGATTATCAAGGAGGAAGGGGCTAGGAAGAAAGTTGCCTTGGGTGGCACAGCTGGTAGAGCCCCGGTGCTCAGAGAAGGAATGCAAAGAGGACATTTAGGTTAAAAACAGTCCAGAGAAAGAAACGCATCCCAGGCCAGCAGTATATTGGGCCAGTTTATGAGGTGTGAATAAATAGAGCCATCTGGGAGAGTAAGATGCTAGATTTGGCTGCAAGAGTAAGTAGCAACAGAAACAAGCTAAAATAACAAGTGCAGAGGCCAGGAAGATGCATTACTTCTGATTATGTTATTTGCTTTGGAATTTTACCCGAGAGTTCACAGTGAGATATTTGAGGGCATGAGGAATTCACTTTAGCATGCAAACTGCAATTTCTCTTCAGTATCACGGTCTTCTATTATTTTCTTCTACTTCTATGGTATTGTGTCTGTCTTCTAATTATTCTACACTTATGCTATAATGTTACCACACGGTAAAGAAGGGCAATTTAAAAAACAAAGCACGAAAGTCCCAGACTTACCAAATCCTTGGAGTGCTCCCCCTAGAATTTGGGCATCCATCACAGGATTGAAATTTGGAGCTGGGAAGATGGTTCCTTGAACCTGGTGGCAAAAGTCAAAACATAAGAGACTGTATTAATTTAATGAAAAGTTTCAACAAAATTTTCCGTAAAACATCTGCAGAAATTCCTTCTACAAGTTTAGATTACTATACTACACTAACATTTATTTTTTATCATATTTGTGTGTCAAATATAGAAAGCTATTTTGGTTCAGTGTGTTTTATTTAGTGACTTATACTATGTTGGTATCCATAATCCAAATAAGACATTGAGATTTTAGACCCACCAATAAAAAGACATAAGTACAAAATTTACAATATGTATTTTCTTAGGAACTGATGACTACTTTATAGAAGCTGAAAAGAAAACCATATGAAAAGATTTAGGCCATTCATCTGAATTATAAATATAATTCACTATTATAATGTTTTTTGGGAACAAAAGAGAAGCTAAATTCATATGAGAAAAATTAAAATACTTGAATGTAGATTATGGTATTACAAAAAAATTTGAAGAACCTAGATAAAATTGAAGTACTTGGGTGCAAAGAAAAAAAATGACCCTTTTCTCTCTTTATGATAAAATAGCAGAATATTTAGGAAAAATTTCTGATTTCAGGCTCTGTATCCTGTGTTCACCCTCAACACGAGAGAGCTGTAAATCAGATATTATCAAGAACAAGAATCAGATTTCTAGATTTGTTGTCAGTGTGTCTAGAACTTTGGAAAATAAAAATGCTATCTGGCACTGGGCTGAGCTTTTGGAACTTAGTTGAAGAGAGGGAGGAGGGATCATATGAACAGGGTGGGGAAGTCAAGATCATGATTTGGAAAACCACAGATGCAACTGACCAGAGCTAGTGGGAGCTTACAGACTCTGGACTGAGAGCTGGAATCCTGCATGGTACCTCATTAAACCCTCTGAATGTGGGAGACAGTAATGTGAGTTGATCTGTTGGGGGAAGGTGCTGGCAGTGGGACCAGAACTTATCCTGGGTGCATATACCAATTTTTTTGAGCCCATTCCTTATGGTGGGATACCTTGCTTAGCCTTGATACAGGATGGAGGGACTTGGTTACACCTCAAGTTGGTATGCCATTCCTTGTTGACTACTCAAGGGAGGCCTTACTCCCTCTGAGAAGTGGATGGAGGTGGGATGGAGGGAGGTGAGAAAGTGGGAGGAGGAGAGGGATGTTGAACTGGGCCTAGTATGTAAAATCAAAAGCTTTTTTTTAAATAAAAAATATGAAATTTAAATAAATGCAATCTCATAGTGAATGAGCCTTTGAGGGTTGCAGAATTTGAATGAGCTAGTACTTTGGGAATAAAATTAGTTAGACGAATTAACTACAGCATTGTAGTACTCATTGTCTAATGCAAGGTTAATCAGTTAAACAGAACAAGGCTGACCTAGTTAATTGGTAGATAAGTAACAATCTATTGATACCAAAGTATTTGTTAAATGATTAATTTTGGAAAAAAATAAAGGCTCTGTTTTTTTGAATTACAAATAGATTTAATTTTAAATGCTATTGATACATGTGTAGCTATTAATTTGAAGGAGACCACCATATAGTAACTGCAGTGTGAAATGCAGTCAGGTTTTATGCTTGGAAGTACATCAGTGATGGTAGGCTGTCCTCCTTCAACATTTACATGGACAGGTCGATGTCATTAAAGAGAACTGTCAGAGTTTTTGTGTTTGTAATTCTACCACTTGGGAAGCTGAGGCAAGAGGAATATGTGAGTTCAAGGCCAGGCTTATCTAAACAGGAAATTGCATATAGCCTGGGTTAAGTTGCAGAGTGAAACTCTGAAGAAACAAAACATCTACCACTACAAACCCATTCTTCATCTTCATTGCTCCAGTGTATTTAATTACAAATGAATTTCCAGTTAGCATCCAAAGTTTCGTTTGTTGCACATGAACTCAAGAACATTCTCTTGAGTTAGTGCCACATATTGAGGGTGTTTAGTAGGTGAAAACAAAATTTTAACACATTTGTCCACCAAACTGTCATAGGGTGGAGTTCTGTAAAGAGACAGTCAAACATGTCTTCCAATTATTAAACTAAGTTTGGGCATCAGATTTTAATGTAAATGCTTAGATCTACATATCTCAAACATTTTTGTCTTATTTATTTTACTTGTATGTGTATGTGATTTGAATGTATGGATGTGCACCATGTGTGTATAGGTGACTTCAAAGGTTAGAAAAGGATATTGTACCCTGAAGCTGGAGGGCTGGGAGTTGTGAGATACCTAAAATGCGTGCTAGGAAGAGAAATCAAGTTCTTTGCAAGATCAGTAAGTTTTTTTTATTATTTGCTGATCCATCTCTCTAACCCCCCCAATTTTTTTTTAATGTTTCAATTATGAGTTTAAGATTTAAATACTAGATGTAAGCTGGGCGGTGATGGTGTATGCCTTTAATCCCAGCACTCGGGAGGCTGGGTAGGCAGATCTCTGTGAGTTCGAGGCCAGCCTGGTCTAGAAGAGCTAGTTCCAGGACAGGAATCAAAAAAAGCTACAGAGAAACCCTGTCTCGAAAATCCAAAAAAATAAAAATATAAATATTGGAAGTAATAATCACTTATCTTTAACTGTGAAATTATGTTACTATCATTGTATTTTGTAACACACACACACACACACACACATATATACTTCTTTTACCAAGAAATGAATTTTTAGCAACAATTGTTTCAGAGTAATATGAACTTCAGAATGTATTTAGCAAGATTAATATTGACTTCCCATAATGCCCCCTGCCCCTCCTCATATGCACATCCTCTTTCATTATCAACATCTATCAGAGTGGCATATTTGCTACATGGACCTGATAATAATAATCTTCAGTCAATATTTTATATTATGGTCACTTTTGGTAGTATACCTTATTTGAACTGAAACAAATTTATAGGGGCATGTGCTTATCATTATAAACCCACACAGATGCTTATAATACCACACAGATGTTTCAGTGTTCTAAGAGTCTTCTACATCTTCAAATTGCCATATTAAAAGAATTTTGAGGAGTAAGAGGATTCTTATTTTCTACTATCATAGAAATTAGAAGTGAATTTACCACCACAACATTACTACTTGAAACTTAATGGCCTTAATCTTGTTAAGTGTAATCAGCCAACTGAAAACTTCTTTTAAGATTTAAAAAGTGAAAAACTCAAATCATTTTAAAAAATCAGACACAAAGAATTTCAAGTGTATTCTTTTATAGTCAGTAAAGTCAAGTCTTAGCTGGAAAAATATGACAAGTGAAGGCTATAAAGGAGTATAAATATGAGAGCGAGAAGTCAAAGTAGTCTTATTTGCAGATAGCATGGTTTTATACATTAAACACCCTTAATCTTGCACCATAAAGCTTCTATAGTTGATAAACACACTCAATAAAAGAACAAGATGAGAAATTTATATATATATATATATATATATATATATATATATATATATATGTGTGTGTGTGTGTGTGTATTTTTTTTTCAGTACACTGGTAATATATCAAGAAAGAAATCAGGCAAACAATGCTGGCTTATTTATTTTTCTTTTGCTGTGGAGACATCGTGACCAAAGCAACTTATAGAAGAAAGAGCTTTCAGAGGCTTATGGTTTCAGGGGTAAGTTCACGACTTATCATGCTGGGGAACATGATAGCAGGAAGACAGGCAAGGCGCTGGGGCAGTAACTGAAAGCTCATATTTTGACATAACCACTGCTAGCAGAGAGAGTTCGCTGGGAGTAGCACTTTCTTTTGGAGTATCAAAACTTATGCCCAGCAACAAACCTTTTCCAACCAGCTCCTATCTCCTAATCCTTCCTAAATTGCTTCATAGCTGGGGACCAAACATTCAAATATATGAATAAATCTATTTTAATTCAAACTACCACAAACACTACCACTAATAGTTAAAAAAAAAGTGTCTAAGGAAATGAAAGACTTGCATACCGGAAATTTTAAAACAACAAGGAAAGAGACTAAAGAAAATATCAAAAGATAGAAGCCCCTCCCATGAACATGGATTGGTAGGAATCATATATGAAAGTGCTTATCCTACAAAAAACAATCTGACAGAGTGGTGGTGGCATGCACCTTTAATCCCAGCATCCTAGAGGCAGAGGCAGGCAGATGTCTTTGTGTTAGAAGCCAGCCTGGTCTACAAAGCAAGTTCCAGGACAGACTCCAAAGCTACGCAGAGAAACTCTGTCTTGAAAAAACAAAACAAACTAATGCCCAAGCAAGCAGACAAATACAAATCTGCAGATTCGGTCTGATCCCCATCACTCTCCCAATATAATTGTTACAGAAATTGAAAAGCATGATATTCAGTTTCATTTGGAATCACAAAGACACATCATAGACAAAACAATCTTGAATAACAACAACAATGACAATGATAATAATAGAGCTGCTGGAGCTGCTTTACTTCAGATTTCAAGTTTTATTACAGATTTATTTTGGTCCTTATTTCTATTTCTGATGAGAAAATACTGCTGGAAAGGATATTGTACTGGGGTGAAGGAGTTTATAGCATCAGCCCTACCTCAGGAAATAAGGTGGTCTTTCACCAGGAACTGGAAAAAGAGTTTAAAAATATGCACCACACATTGACGTAATTGCAAGCTGGCTACTAGAGTGAACCAGTATGAAGTTTCCTTTAGCATTATTTCCCATGTAGTGGGTTCTGACATACAGCTGTAGTGAAGTAGTTGTCATGGGATTGCAGAATTACAGAATTTTCTGGAGATTTAATAGTTCTAAACACATTTGTACTTCACAGAGTACAACATCTGCAAGTATCTAGGTTCAAAGGTAAACTTTATACTTTGTTTTGAAATGAGTATTACATGTCTTGTTCTGAAGGTCTGCTAGCACTTTGGATAAGGAATGAGCTAAAGTTTGAAAACATTACAGATGTCAAAAATTCCCTGTGGCATACAAAGCATGATTTCTAATAAGGTAAGCATACTGTGTTTGTCATGTCCCATAACAAATTTCTTACTTGGTAAAAGGTGGCTACAGTA